TATATATGCCTTGCAAAAATTAGATTACCACCTAAATGGGGTAGTATTTACTGTCAAGACTGACATCAAGCCACTTCAAAAGCTAAATGGACTAATAAAAAAGATCCAGAATTGTGCACTGAGGGCGAGCGGGGACAACTGTAAAACTGAGTACCTGGCCGGTGAGTCTAATACATGCGCGGATTTGCTGTAAAGAATCCCAAAACAGCTGGAGTCAGAATCCATAAGGTTAGCGCCAGGTGTAGATGCAGATACAGGTAATCAACTCCAATAGATTAAAGGACCGTGTTGGAAACTGAGACAGAAGAGACCACTTAGAGGCTGATTCTCACTGGAAAGAAGCAATAGAGTCAGAAGGACAGTGAAATAGCTGCTCTCAGAGTCAGGTAATACCTTTAAGTATGCAGTGCATGACGAAATGCTATAGTACCACTCGGAGAAGTATTAAGAGGTAAGGCTAAGATTATTTATGCCTATGGGACTGAGCGCCGAAATATTCGTCAATGCCATGAGAAGCTGGGTTACATGGGGATCGATAAAACCCGTGATCTGATAGAAAAAAATCTGTTATTGACCTGGGCTATATAACGAGGTCCCCAACTACGTACAGGGCTGTGTGGTGTGTCAGGCTCAAAGTAGAAGGTAGAAAACGGCTCGACAGTTGGAGGCAGATGTCCTCAAATTCCTCTTTGAGAAAGTGAGTATAGATGTGACAGGACCGCATGGGGATACCCCAAGGGGAAACCTATATATCGTGAGCTTTGCAGATTGGCTGACGTGCTGGCCTGAGGCATATGCAATACCTAATGAGAGCCCAAACAGTGTCTGACTTGATACTGACAGAGATATTTCCCGGCTATGGGGTTCAGTACAACTGGTTACAGAAAACGTAAATACGATAATGACCGAAGCCTTGGCAAGCCTGGATAGAGTACATGTGGCCACTTCCCTATACCATCCACAGAGTAATGCAAAAGTAGAAAGATTTCATAGGACTTTGGGTGATATATTGGCTAAATTGGTAAGGTATAACGCCAAGAATTGGGACCTGTATTTGACACAGGGCTTGGCAGCACTATAGTTTACCACGAATGAGACTTCAAAGTTCTCACCATAATATATGCTGTTAATAGAACAACAACATAAGTTGTTTACTTAGGCCAGATGCGGTCCTGTACTCAATGGAGCTGGAGATTTCCATAATGGAGTCTCGATGGAAGGATATGTATAAGGGGAAGAGGGGGTTGAACTGTTACAGACAAGAAGGAAAAGAGCAATCATCCCCATTGTTGGAAATGCGTAAAGTGTTCTGTTTAGAACAGGGACAGAAGCAGAAATTAAAATTGCAAAAGGGGTGATAAAGAGGGGGATTAAGGAAAACTGCCGAGTGGAGGCTTTGGTAAATACATTATTACCACAAGCTATCAGTATACCTAATAGGGTTTGGGCAGTGGCCACATAGAGTCAGATGGATTTATCTAGAGTATGTCGGAGGAGACCCCCTGGAGCAATAAGGATAGAATCACTATTGGCTTTGATTGAGTTACTCTTGATATGAGGAGAAAGATTCATTGCTGAAATTAATCGAAATGAGTTTGAATAATTGGACAGAGATATGGAACCAGTAGCAGAGAACTTCCCTGAAGTTACATTAAAAGAAGATGCCGAAGTTATTAAAGCAAATAGAGAAAATTAGTCTTGAACAATTGAAAGAAAAATTAAGTCCATGAGAGAAGAGAAATACAGTCTGGAACGATAGTTCAGAGACCATAATAAACTGACAGGTACCTTAATAGTTATAACGACAGTAACATGGAAGCTGAAATGCATAGGTAGAAATCAATTGATAAGATATTGTCGAGCTTGCATCAAATCGAGAACGGGATGCAATTTAGTGTTCTTTACCCAAGCAGATTGAATCCAGACCAATTTGAAAGCGTTAGGAGAACAGGAAGCAGAATCGACATCTGTCAAAGAGAAACCAACATCCTATACTGCTGGGAGAGGAAAGTCGACCAAGAAAACGAACCATTAAAACCGGTCAAGAAATTAAATTGTAACTGGTGATGCGAACTGCAACGTAAATGTTCATGCTCATGGAACGGAAAAAGAAAACATTTTAATTCCATTGCATGTTTAGTAGAAAAACGATGCATTAAGAACCCTTGTTGTTTTCATTATTATTTTGAGGTGGGGGTGTCATTTACAAGTAAATGACAGAAATTGGATAGGGAGGAATGTGACACTATTGTGGCACTGGTAGTATGAAATTAGGATTAAAATGGTTCATGTGAAAACCTGGCATGGGAATTGGAGAAATTGAAGGGCTAAAAAAGACGTTAAAATCGTTAAGGTGAAAACAAGAATTGAAATATGGAGCAAGGAAAAAATAGAAGTGATTTTTTCCTGATAAACTGATGAGCAAATAGAATTGTTATGAATCCTCAAAGCCAGTAATATAAACAATCTGGAATGTCGTTTTGTAAAATAGGCAGAAAATTATTTGGGTCTTATTGGTAAATCGACAACAAAGAGAAGTCGACAACAAAGAAAACTCTTTGACATCAGTAAAATAGAAATATTTTTTCAACACAAAAGTTTGTTATCGGGAAATTATTATCGTCAGACAATGTTTTGTTTTAAGTAGCTGACCGCCTTGTTTCAGAGTCTATGTCGTTTCTCCACAAGTGTAGAAAATAATCAATTGATACAAATATTGAGGAGTCCTGTGGTGCGGTAGGAGTCGGGCGAAATACATATAAACAGAACGCTTAGTTGAAGCCAGATGTTGGAGCAAAGAGTCGGCAAATGACGAGACAGCAGCGGACGAAGGAGCTACTGAACCCCACGTGAGCTGCTGCCGATAGAATTCCCGGCCGACCACCTTAGGATTTTTTTTTTAACCCGCTCCAAATTTTGGAAGAAAGAAATAAAGTGTCACGATAGATAGTGTAACGGGAAGGATTAATTTTGTTGTATCAGCGACTATATAAACCAATTTAAAATTAACCCAGCGACATTCTCAGTTATTTTGTTATGATATTTGTATTTTCGCCAGCGGAAGCCATCTTTGTCCTTTGTAGCACGGTTCCACCGCAGCTAGTTTCAGCGCTCAAGTACGGACGAAATTCGGTCTTCACTGATCTGTGATCAAGGAACACAAAATGGGGTAGGCCGAATGAAGGAACGAAGCGGCCAGCAGATAACCATCAGTCGACTGACGGCAGTAATGGCCAACGTGGGAACAACCAAGGATCGAACCGGGCCGGCCGTGTTATACTGAAAGTATTTCCGAAATCAAGAAATAAAACAAGATGGGCACTCTAACTCGTGTTATCTAGAGAAAAAAAAACATGCGTTTCGTATATAACACGCGAACATAAAAGCGTAAGCCATTCAACTATGAATCCCTCCTATATACATAGACGGACAAACACATACTTGTATATTATCTCAAGGGAGGAAAGGGCCTAAAACTGAAGGTTCTGTTAAACATCTAAGCTCATTACGTTCACCATTATAACAAAGAACCTCAAATCAAAGGTCACTTCCGCCCTCATAAATAGAGAGTTTACGAAACATAAACACACATGGTATCTATTTACTTATATATAGAGAGAGATAAATAGATAGATAGATCGGCAAATAGATATTCAGAATTGAGTTTCGTGTTCTTTTCAAACGCTTGATGATTGTGCGACTGCCGACAAATAAATCGCACATACACTTTAAACTTAAATTCACGGGAAAAGCTTAAAGTTTCATGTGCACACGCCATTTATTTATCGGCAGTCGCACAATGGTCTTAAGATGTGCTATATTTATGGGATAAAGTGCTCAATATCAGAGATAGAGCGTGTGTAAATATAAAAGTGAAAAAAGTCAACACTTAGAGGCGATATTCTGTTTCATACTAGATGCAATCCTCAGGCCTGACGATTGCATCTAGCATGAAACAGACTGTCGCCTCTAAGTGTTGACTTCTATGTTCATTCATATATATATATATATATATATATATATATATATATATATATATATAAAACTATATATATATATATATATATATATATATATATATATATATATATATATATATATACCCCATATATATATATATATATATATATATATATATATATAGCCTATATATATGTCGTATATAAACCTATATATATATATATATATATATATATATATATATATATATATGAAGAAATATAGTCTTAAAGTGTGCTATATTTATGGGATAAAGTGCTAAATATCAGAGATAGAACGTGTAAATATAAAAGTGAACATAGACGTCAACACTTAGAGGCGACAGTCTGTTTCATGCTATATGCAATCGTGAGGCCATATATAAAAAACCTATATATATATTGTATGTAAACCTATATATATATATAGTGTATATAAACGTATATATATATATATATATATATATATATATATATATATATATATATATATATATATATAAACCCCCGCACAATCCCCCGTTATTTTCATCTAGTTAGCTCATCTTTCTCCCACGCTTAGTATTTTGTGGTGGCTACAATTAGAAACACAGTTTTGTTTGGTTATTCTACATAATTTACAGCATTGTAAATATACATTGGGGATTTTAAAAAGTTGTTATTTTTATCTCAATTTTACATAACGGGACTTTAGGGAGGAATTTTGGTATTATGATAATTGTAGTAAAAAAATGCTGTTTTGCTGAATCGAATATTCTGAAATGATTAGATATGTTATTTTGACTAGTTGAGTTACACCTTAAGACAGATAAAGAGGGTCCCTTCTTCTGCCTTAACATTTGACCCTGTGTCACATTTTATATGATTTTCCTCGATATATATTTTAATCATCAGACTTTTCTCGCTAAATCAATTACGACTGAGTGGTGACTTCTATCCTCACTGGGTGCTCCATACTTGTACGGTTGGAAGGTAATTTCTTGCGGTTTCTAAATAAATTTGATTTTTAAAATCCGCAAGAACTTTCCTTGATAGATAGATAGATAGATAGATAGATAGATAGATAGATAGATCGACCGACCGATCGATCGATCGATCGATAGATAGATAGATAGATAGATAGATAGATAGATAGATAGATAGATAGATAGATCTTTATAAAATGTACTTACAACGATTCTGTTTCATCAACCTTCCAAGTTAAGTAGGCTTGTCTTATTGCCTATATGTACGAAGTAACATCTAAATCTTCTTGGAATTTGATTTTGACAAATGCTTACTTAAGTAAATAAATACATTCTACCATATTTCAAATGGTGATTGTCTCTTTGGATATGTACTCTTGTGTACTAAATACAAGTGCCAGCAGGATTGATTCCACCGTCACCCGTCACAACGCTCATTTGGTACGGAAAACTTATTTTTCAAATAGTTTTCTCCGCGGCACGATGGTTTATTAAGGTGATATTTCTAAAGAAATCATCTTATCTTGTGATGTGCGTATTTTTCAGTGCGCCCATGTTGCTACCGAATATGAGACAAGGTCATTTTAAAGTGGTTTTAACGGCAATACCGCAGAGAATTTCTCAAGCCCACTCGGTACTGTCCCATTTTGGTGATACCTCAGCCGCCATGCAATAACCACAGCCCCCTCCCGAAACAGAGTTACTGTCTGTGGGGAAGCTCCCCCACCGCCATTGGTGCTTGTTGCTTTGGTTTGTTTGTTTAATGGAGTATCAACTCTTTACGGGACATTTAATGCCGGAATTTTATTTTCTTGTGAGCATTGTTTTTGGGTTTTTTTTCTAAAATATATTGCTGGCAATTTTTTATTCTTTTACTATGAAAATATATTGCTGGTAATTTTTTTATTCTTTTACTATGAAAATGTATTACTGGTAATTTTTTCTAATGTATTTTTATATTTTCATTTTTTAACCCCAGTTTGGGGGTTCACTATTTGCCCATAGCTGGGACCCTAACAGGTGCTACCACCCTGGGTCAAGGAGAACCTAGGAACACAGCAATTAAGAGGAAGTTTCACGCTCCTCAAAACCTTCCGATTAGAGGCTTTGTTGCCGTATGTAGTTTATCATCATACCCAGGACGACCTGGGGCTTCAGCTTAATATTTTCGGCAGGGGAGATTTTTTTAACCCAGCATAGATGCTAGCACAATATATGGTGCCTCCAGTGAGGAATGACCTCACTATTCAGTCATAACTGATTTAGTGAGACAAACTTGTTAATCATTATACCATTTCGAAGTGCGCAATTTCGCTTGTGATCTGCGGCAGTACCTTTCTTATTGCGTACCCCATTAATATGGTTCTGTTCAACAAATACCAAGTTTATGTGCGCTTTTATTAATCATGAAAATATTTACAACCTAATCTCGCAAAATAAATTTATCTTTAGTAGACGTGCTGTTATTACAAATCTATATTTATATTTTAATATTTTATTCAAGTCAGTTTCGATATAATATAGCATAGAATAGAGTATAGTATCCTTAAATATAATACGCCACATACACATACACACATACATATATATATATATATATATATATATATATATATATATATATATTTTTTTTGTGTAACAACTGAGGGGCAGTGTGAAAAATTTTAATATAAGACGCACAGAAGTCATGACCCCATTCACGTTCACACGCAAAAAGCTACCGCGCTGAGAAACTACAAAGCTATCTCCTTCTTTCCTTCTCTCGGCGAAAGCGAAAGAAGTGATGGAAAGGAGCTACGAAAAGAAATAAATACACAACTGCAAAGAAAGAAAGAAAGAAAGAAAGTAAGTAAGTAAGTAAGTAAGAACGAAAGAAAGAAGGGAAAATAGAAAACATTTCCAATAGAAATCAATGTAAAATGAATAATTCCTTTCCTGGTACCAAGATGATTGTTTATTTAAATTTTAACGACTTGTGCACAAGTTTATACATTAAATCTAAGAAAAAGTAAATAAACCCAATACTAAATACATAAAATATAGACGAACACTTCAATTTTACTGTACCTGTAAGTAGGAGAGTTGATGGCGTAAGTGGAAGCTGGTGTGGAAGACGAAGGAAAGATATGTTATTACTTGGAAAAGGGAAAGACATGATCGTCTCTTTATTTATAAGAAGACTATAGATTGTTGATTTTGCCATACGAAACTGAGTAGAAAGAGACAATATCATCAACAATTGTTTTTCTCTCAACTTTTCTTTTTCCTTTACCAGTATCACTGCTAGCTTTCTTTGGATCTATATCTAACCAGGGCTAGTAAAGAAAAGAAAAACAGGCGCGGTACAACACAACACACAAATGTATACAACATGGCGGTCGACTCAGAAATGATTACTTTCGGGTTAACTCGGCTCGGCTCGGTTCGAGAACCGAAATTTTGTTCGATAACCGAGGCATTTTCATCTCGAATTTTCTGTTTGAAAACTGATTTGTTCGACATATGAGACGTTCGAAAACCGAGGTTGCTCCGTACTTACAATACATTCCTTCTTGCCGTCAATTTCGACGACACGGGTACATTAGTAAAAATATAACATAATGATATAACAGGGTTTTCAGTAACTGATAAATAAGAGTTTTGTTTGATGATAAGGCTACTTACCATTACGTTGCGAAATAATGTGCTTTAAAACTGAGTAAAATATCAAGGTTAAAGAGAGAGAGGATGGAGAAATAGAGAGGCGTATATATATAGAGAGAGAGAAGAAAAGAAAGAAGAAATCAAGAGATAGGAAAGAGACGTGAGAAACGGTGATATAGACATAATAAAAAGTGATAGAAGGAGACAGAAACATAAGAGAAATACAGAAAAAAAAGAGAAAAACAGAAAAGAGAGACAGACCAAAACAAGCCCAGTAAATAACAGTATTTAGCAAGCTTACTTGAGTCTGACACAAGGTCATATGTATAGAGCACTCAATGGGAATCAACTCCACTGCAGTGTTACTGATCCCTGTTGCGTGAATTTGCTAATCGTTACAACACTCTTGGTAAATATCCATTACTTATCAGTATTCGTTCTTTCATTATACAATCCTATCAGTTCGTCTCTAGATAACAGTATGTGCTTGTCAGTCCATGTGTCTATTTGATTCTTAACTTTATTTCTTTGATTCCCATTTTCTTTATGCTATATTCCTGGATAGAATCTCTATTGACCAATTTCAAAAAAATCTCTGACCAACAAACACCTAAGTTTACTTACAATAAAGCCAGCGCCTCTTCGTCAAAGATTTCCGGTTCCGCCAGCGATGGCAATGTACCATCTTGATCGTCCATGTCCATTGCATTTTGCATCTCAGCTTCCTGTTGCTGTTGTTGCATCAGTTGGCTCAGGCTTGTCACCGTATTCTGCTCTTCGATCGCCGACAGCAAAGGCGGTCGGGACACGTTTTTTGTGTACTGCATTTTGTCGATGGACGAAAACATATTCTCCATTTTCTTGGAATTGCGCCGCGCCATCGACATCCCTTCTCCGCTTTCGCCGCTGACTGGTTCTATCATAAACCTGCAATTAATACAGATAAAATTATTTTCATCATTTCCCTCAAAAAAATACGTTAAAAAACATGTGTATCTTCGTCTTCTATGTGCTACGTCCTTTTGGGGCATGGGCGATCATGGCTCTCCACAACTTTCTGTCCCATGTTGCTCTTAGCAGTTTTTCTACAGAAGAATCCTGACAACACCGTGGACAGATCGTGTAAACAACGATAACATTTTTAAAAAAATACACATATACTTAAGTGCGACTCAGTTGTGGCTCTGTCTGCGGACAGAGACGCAGCTGAGGAAAATACTGTGAGGTGCTCTGTCATGGGAACAGCAGCGCGAGGCTGCACCCTCGCCATTGCACTAAAGAGGCTAGATCAGTAGTCATACCGATACCGACGCAACCGACAGTTGCAGGGGCTGGGCAATTTTTGTCCTTGTCCCGGATGTAATGCGCTCGGGTTCCCCACTTAGTCACATCTCATCTCAGTGGAGAGACCAGGGTAAATAAAACACAAGAGTCAAATGAAGATAGCTGAAATTTCTGGGACACATAATGAAGAAGGTGGGTTCGGAAAATTTGACACTCACAGGACATACTGAAGGCAAAAGGGACAGAGAGAAGCTGAGGACCAACTACCTGACGAGCTTATGTGAATGGATGTCCTGCATTTTATCTGATGTAATGAATATGCATACACCTGGGTTCCCCCTCACAGTAATATGATTGGCTGATGTCAGCCATAAATACAGACTGATTCGGACGTACAGGGGAGGCCTATTGGCTACACCTATTGCTTACGCCTATTGCCTACCACTACGACGAGGACCAGCCCATTCCGGTTACCTGCTAGATTGTCCTACTCGGTTACAGTAGTCCAAAACCACTTTGCTACTTCAAACAAATATATCCCTTTCCGGGACATATCATTATCAAAGGAACACGACGGGAATAAGGATGGCTGCCACTCTTAACATGTCAAGGCGGTTCCTAGCTGTGGAGGGCTGATGGCACTATGGAATGTAATTCGTTCAAACATCTACCATAGTAATAGTGGTATAGCAGTAAAAGGCTAGCAACGCTTCGTCTGTTGAGTAAGAGTCGTATATTGGTGAATAATTCATCACGTAAGCGCTTCTGAACTCTGCTGGGATGTACCTGTTACTTAGTTGAGTTCAGTCACTCTTAGAGTAAGTCCAGCTGCAGATTGCTGATGCATTTTTTCAGACGACCGTTACAGACGGCTTTTGCTGTCTCCCCCAGTCCCACGTTTCTTTCTCACATTTATACACGGGCGGGCGAGTCCAGCTCGTTACTCGGAGTATAACATTACTATACTTTTGGACGCATTGAATATCATCAGCCAGTCTTTTTCCTATTGAGCTGTGTCAGAGCAGTGATCAGCTGTCAGGCACTGGTCATCAAGATATTTGGAAATGCATCCATACTCTGTAGTATCATCAGCATATATATTTACTAAAGATCTGAGAGTGTTCTTGGGCAGATCAATTATCTCGTAGTTTTGTCGGACGTTACGTTCAATACTCTCTTTACCATCATTACACATGAAAATAGCCTTTTAATAAATGTAGTCTCATGTAATAAATAAATAAATACCCAGCCCAAAATTGTCCCTTTAGTGAACGATACAAGGTCAAAGGCGTTACAAGAACTAACCTGGTTTGTTTTGGTTCCGCGTTTAATTGCTGAGAAGTAACAGGAGGAGGTGTCTCTGTTCCTGACAACGAACTCCGGGCATCTCGCTTGCGCCCCAGGGCACTGGGAAAGCTAAATTTCCGATGAGGTCGGACTTTTTCTCTGCCCAAATCTCCACGGCCTTCGATGTCAGTATGGGCACGACGTCTTCGTTCTATAGTGTCCTCCGTAGTCCTTGTGGCCAGATCAGAGTCAGAGGACCAATTTGTTACTATGTTGGGCGTATCTAGCCTGGTTGAGCGGAGATCTGGAGGATTCATGCCTGGAAGACCTGGAATACCGAGAAGTTGAGGCCCGCCATTCGGAACGCTCATGGCTCGATCCTCACGTTTTGGAAAGATGAGACATTCTGGTTGTTGATGAAGTTTTCTGATGGAAGAAAAGAAAACGTTTTGATATTAAACTAACAGTTGATTTATGAGATTATGGATAAGATATAAAGCAGATACATTAAATTTTTAATATACTCTAATGAATACGTAGAGAAATATAGATAATTAAAATCACGCAGATAAATCCATTGAAAATTATTTTCTTCTAAATCACTCAAAAATGAAAATAACAGACATCTCATTTTAACAGATATATTTAATAAAATTACACAAGAATATCTTGAAATACTAAAGGGTAAATTTATTTAGTAAAATCGCTAATGGCTTCAACCACGGCCTCCAGACGAATTCGGAATCTTTTGCAACTCTTCTGGAGCGTCTCCTTGTTTAAGTTGGTGAATGCTGCCATAATCCTTGCCTACAGTTCATCTTTGATGTTACAAGGTGTTTTGTTGGTCTCTTGCGCAACTTCGCCCCATGCATAATAATCAAGGAGATTGCAGTTGGTGGAGGTAGGTGGACAAATGTAAGGAGTAATGTGGTCACAAAAATTGTCTGACACCCATGACTGGGTTCTCCTGCATGGGTGGGATGGTGCTGAGTCCTGTTGCCAGACATAGGGTTTTCCAGCAGCCACCCTTTTGACCCAGGGCGGCACAAACTGCTTAAGGTACTTGATGTAAGCTTCTGTGTTGAGTCCGAAACTCTCACCAAAAATTCGGGAATTCTTTTCTTATCAGAATGATCAGAGTGAGTTTTCCGAGCTGCCGTACCTTTGTAATCACCATTAGACTCATCCAACTCTTTCCGAATCCTCTGCACTGTCCTCAGATTGACAATCAAACACAGTAAAATGTTTGTATTGGAGCTTCCGGCGCGAATGCCAAGCAGTACTGCATGTCGTTTCCAAATTTCTGATGGAAAGAATTGTGTCAAGGTGCTCTTTTTCTCACAGTCGGTGCCCAACTGACCCTACTATACTGCGCAGTTGATAAAAAAATAAACAAGGCGCATGCGCAAAATTAAAAATATAAAATGGCGATAATTTACCAATCACACCCTCTATATTGAAAATTCTTTTAATATTTGCACAAGAATTGGCCATCGGCAAGAAGTAACGAGGGTGGCATCATGTTCACTTTAAGGGCGTTAGCAAAAGAAACATGAGGTCAATGAACATCGACATCGAGAGCTGGGAAGACGTTGTCAAGGATCACTAACGCTGGAGACGCGATTTACACCGAGGGCTGGCGCGAGGAGAGGTAAGACAGAAGCTGTGCTCGACGTCAGGAAAACAAGACGACACCGAGGGGTGGAGCTTCTTCACATGCATTTATTGCAATCGAGAGACTGTCACGCCTGCGTGGGCCTGTACAGCCATGCTGGCTACGTCGCCATCAACAAACTAAGGCATAAATTTTGAGCGCAGAGCCACTGTCTACCAAGACCGACGGATGCTACTTACATATTTTAATATTATCTGATTATATAATCCGTGATATATCCTTGTGAGAAGATGCATCTTTGTCTTACACCCCTTTCTATTTTTTTTATATTTACTGAATTCATTTTCTATCCGTATACAGGCAACTTGCTCCCAGTACAGATTCCTTATGTCTACACCAGATTATTAAATTTCTGTACCTGTTTGATTTTGTTGTGTCCAATACATAGCAACTTTTATGGTCATTTTTGCTAATAACCCTCCCTTCTGTTATCTTACAGTTAATAAAGAGTCCCCTTTGCTTTCCTTTACTACCTTATATAAGAGTACTTTATTTTTCTTTCTAAATTTGCTACCAACAGTGTTATCCACGTGTTTTATGTGGATGACATTATGTCTACCAATAATAATGTAAACATAAATGAAACTGTCGCCCAAGTTTTCCCTCGGACGGCCAATGATTACACCCCACGATGCATTTCGATCTCGTCGGTGTGCACCGAAAACTGGGAAAGGGCCCGCTGCACGCTTACAAGGTAACACACGATGAAAGACAAACGCCACATCGAGAAATAAGAACGCGAACCCTGTTTCCCATATTATATGTAGGCGTTTAATTTAGGGCTTCGTCTGCTCGTCCGGGTAGGTAGTTATGGAGGTGATACTTAGGACAACTTCTGCCATGTCATCTCTTTTCCCTACAAACTGCTCGGCCATCTACACATTCCGACGTGGTGCCTGGCAATACAAAATGGAGACTTCGGAAACGCACGACAAACACGTCCATCTCCCATCAAGTGCGGACCAGAACTCTACCCAAATCTACGCATGACAGTAAATATAGACCAGCACACAGATGCACCCTGTTTCCGGTTTTGTTGACACTTGTTTTCCAAAAACTGTTTTACATCACATTCCTTTTTGTTTAAAGTGGATGCTGCTTAGAAGATCGAACATAAAAATGAAACATCCGCTGGTCTGTCAAACAGAACGACTTGGGATCGAGTTTAAATAACCTTCTTTCTTTCTATGTGGATGTCCATTGTATCGCAATAAAGCCTGGTATGTCTTCGCCGATCCCAAATTTGAATGTTGCTGCTATATATGGGCTAGAGTGGCCAAATACCTACTTTCCAGCCTTGACAAAGGTCAAAAGCATTTACTTTGTGGTCACTATACGGTGATAATTTCCAAGCTACAGATGAAACACTGCTAGCATCTCACTACTCTATTGCTATTTTATGGCAAATGCTCAAACTAGCTACATTCTTTACTTGCAGCAGTTCAGACCTTCACAGCTAGAACCCTCCATGATAAGTATAAAGTGTCTAATCTTCCTCATTCCCTTCGTATTCCCTTGGTAAGGAGGAAGTTCCATTCAGCTTCATCCCAAACGCTGTGACTTCCTGGAACAGACTCTCAAGAAGAAGCTTCCCTGATTACAACGATCTTAACCTCTTCAAGTCTAGGATAGATATATTCTACATATCCTCATAATCTGCACGTCTTACTTCATACAAAAACTTCATTCAGTAACTATCTTGAGTGGCTCTTGGGTCTTGTATTTGGTGTATAATAGTATGAAATGATTGTAGGTTAAATAAATTCGGGTAGAAAAGACATCCTGACATTACACTTCTTTCTATTTTGGTATATTCATTTTTTTTTTTTTTACCTCAAACAAGATGATAATGCCATTAAGACGCAAAGTGATACTGAGCGTGAAGAAGAATGAGAAGACAATAGGCCTGATTGAGTCATACTAGTGCATGAAAAGTGGTTAGTGACTTGAGGTATTGAGAGACTTATTAATTCTGAGTGAAGAGTAGAGATGTTAGAAGAATAAAAATATGGGAGAGTGGTTAATCGAACTGGAGTCTGATAGAAAAAAAATTCCGCTTTAAAAATATTAATTTAAATCCATAAAATATTTGTAAGAAGGGTCCCAGAAGTGTTTAAACTCTAATTAAACTACGTATTATTTAGCAATATTCAGCATAACTGACACCCCCGGTTCAACCCCATAACCCCAAAGAAGTAAAGATGACATGACTAATGTGCTTGCCAAAACTCTATTTTGTGATGTCAACGAACACTCGTTGCCACTTTTGTGATGTCAATGAATACTCGCTGTCACTTTCGTAATGCTCGTCGTAGTAGAGACTTTGTAATCGCAGATAAAATTATAGTACGCCGTTGAACAATAATAAATGCCAGACGCCTTCGAATAACACTCGCACTATTATTACTTGCTCGATAATACTCACTCTGAAAGTAACCTCTGTATAGTGATCCGAATAGTGATCTGTATAAAGAATAGCGATCCGTATCGTAATAGAAGATAAAATAGGAATGGGGATCCTTTAGATGTCACGCTAATTCCCATATATACATTTTCTTTACTATCACGGGATCTACTTATTCAAAATGGAGTCGCCCGTGTTTGCTCTCTGGCGATCTGTGTTCAAACTCGTGTCGGCAGCGACACTTTATTCCTATATAACACTCTACAAGCTTTTCGGTAACTTTAGGGATTTTTTAGCAACCTATCCAGTATATTCACGTTGATTTAAATATAAATTTTGGAAACTTGAAAAGCATGTCCAAACTTGAATAGTACGGTCCTCTGGGCAATATAATAGGAGATTCTTTGTTTGAGAAGCTAATTAATCATGTCTATTTCCAAATCGGCGTCTATATAAATGAAGTACGCATGCACAAAAATCCGTAGAGTTCGAGAGAGTTACCCAGAGATTTTCAGATCACGTGCCTCGCAGAGAAAACTAGCAGCCCCACTTTTCAGCTTTCATTAAAGATAATTCACCGTAGTAGTTATTCACTGCTAAGATGTTAGCATTCCCGCACTTCTTAAAAAATAGACGTCTCTCAGTGCCTCAAGGATAGAAAAGAAGTAATCATGAGAAAACAGCCCCTCAGCAGTTGTATGAATTTTACATTTCCCATTTAATTAAAGTGTTGATACTTTTTAAACGGTGTCCTTTGGCATGTTTACGCTTTTTCAGCAAGATCGCCCGACGTTGGAGAAACAGCACGATCGAAAACTCGCCCATATCAACAAAGCCACGGTCTGTCATCGGTGAATAATGGACTGTGCTGAACATTCATTTTTGGCGCGTACACAACGGGGAAGGAAATGAAACACAAGCTACCATCACTGAAGTGTAACCTCTTCCCTGATATGATATTCGAAACCTAAACAGGTGTGGTGTATTCGGGGACCAGCACAAGTACGTGTTATGTCCAGTGGTTACGGCCAGGGGTCGGGTTATGCCAGATATAGCAGTAATAGTCAATGGACGGATGAATAGTAGATTTGTAATTGTTCAAGATGGATTCTGACGAGAAAAATTGTCTGTTAAGACACAGTGAACCAACTTTTTTCCTTTCACTGAACTTGTTTTCTATCCGCATACAAACTATTTGTTCCCAGTAATTATTAAGTACTATTATATATTCCCGATATAAATCAAGCTTTCTTAAGATTTCAAGTAGGTCTTTCTGTCATACTTTAGCAAATACTTATGCATAATCTATGAAACAAGTAAAGATCTTCCTACATTTATTAAGCTGTGCCGACAAAAAGGTTATTTTGTAATAATTAATAAATTTATTGATATGGATTGATTTACTTTTATGGCTTATTAACCCTTTGCAGGTTATTTAAAGCCAGAAAATATTTTGAGACTGTAAAAGATTTGGGGTTCGATAATAATGTTTTACTGATACAAATCATGCTAATTAACCCATAACCGTGGGAGAATATGCGGATTCAAACTTTTCCAAATTGCAAGTAAATATAACAAACCCGATTTGAAATGGAACACGTCCCTCCGATTAACAATTTCGAGCCGTTATCATTACATTACCCGAACACCCCAGCTTACAACAGGTGGTATTTCCATACGGTCACCCATCTCGATACTGACCACGCTCGACGTTGACTTAACTTCAGTGGTCGTACGACAACCAGTGCTTCAATGTGATGTGGCCGTAAGCATAGTATTTATTGGAAATATTTTTTTCTATTTGATAATGTTGTAGAGTAGTTTTCACAGTGGAGGCTTGTATTTCACTAAGTCGGTCCTAAAGGGTTCGACGTACAAAACGTTAGGAACTTGAAATAATAGTTAATGACGCAGCAATCTAGTTGTGGTGGTTGATACTTCAATGTCCGACATCGACTGACTCACTCAACTCACTGAGCCCCCTGGCGACTGCTACTACTACTACTTATTATATCTGGGAGAGTCTATTAACAATAGAATAGGTATGTTCCGGTATAAGAGATAACATTTTGTGTATGGTTAATATGTTTGACGCGTATTTATTTTCATTTTATTGCACTTGTTTGTATCGCTTTGTTGTTTTAGCGTCGCTAAACCTCCATTCTTTAGGAATAATATAAACATGGCTTGTATTGGAGCAACGAATTAGAAAATGCGATGTCTATTCTTTACTTACGTCATTGAATGCCTGCGTGAAAAAAGACTAAGAAGAGATCCGGCAACAGTGCTTGAAACCGAACTGCGACGAGTGGGGGCTTCCCCCAGGTCATTGACAATCCGCTGCTCTTCAATACTAGGTTTTCTGAAATTAAAAATAGAAAAGACATTGATTTGGTTTAAGAAAAACACTCATGCGTCTCCAGATCAGTCGCGCTTGCGCACAATTACAGTTTTGTTTTGTTTTGTTTTTGTTTTTGTTTTTTTTTGGGGGGGGGTATATTAAGTACATTTATGCGAGAAACATAAACTGCACCTCTTACTGCTCGGCAACATCCGCCTTCAGTAACCCTATACCTTGAGTGTCCCTTTGGGCCTGGTATAGGGTGAATATTAGTGGGAAAAAATAACTTACGCGATATTGTAAGTAGATCCGAGGAAATTGGGGCGTTTGGAAGCATACGACGCCTCAGTGTAAGGCAGCTCTTCGACATTTTCATTCCAGTACATATCCCGAATCAATGGCGGATGCTTACCGTAACACTGGTCGATCAGAGCCATTGAAACCTACAAAAAACATAGGTAAGAAAAGATACGAAAGATTAACTATTTATATAAAGGAAATTTGTCTATAATTTTTTATAGAGGATTCACTGTCCTGAGCTATCATTGGGCTTTCCTCGTGCTGAAATAACTTGGAACGTCCTATTGATCGGGATGCGAATCTAATTTTAGGGGCTTAATACTAAAATGAGTGGGATCTTAATAATCAAGAGCAAGGAATTTTTTTCTATCCCTTAATAAAGTTTGGACCGAGAAATCTTTTAAAGGGCCCAAAAGCACAAAATTATTAAACTTGGTGGTCTAATAAGCTCTGAAGTGGGGTCATTAAAATCTCAAAAAAGAATAAATCTAAATTCTGTCTGTCCGTCCGTGTGACAGAAACTCCTCTAACTCAGACTACACTTGCTCTACATACACATATACCTTTTCGGAATCAGGATAATCCCGGGATTGAAAATGTGCCCATTCATCTGGTGCTTGAACATCCAGCATTGTGATTAGTCTCCGGATAAGGAGGGAACAGTTTAAAATTCAAATTAAACTAACTGAAAAAAAATTATTGATTTTAAATGTGTTTAATTTATATTGAGTTTAAACTAATACGAAAACTTTGTGAATTTAAACATTTTGGTTTTAAATTCAATTTAAAATACCTCCAAACCTTTGCGAATTCAGGAAACCAATTTTAATTCTTGCCAATGCCAATGAATCAGAGGTTTCGTGATGTGGGGTTTTGAAGTTCCGCAGAGTTTGTGATTTGAAGAACTCAATTTTCGGCCAGAATTCGAATTTCAGCCCAAATCGGTCTTTGAGCCGGAATTACTTATAGCCCGAATCAGAGTTAGTGAGGTTTTCAAGTTCCATGGAATGAACTGAGGAATTCAAAGTTATTTCGTCAAAATTATCATCGCTGTTTACTAAGCTGAACCACAGATCTCTTCAGTTTTCGGTGTTGATTTTTTTCTTTTTTCTTCATAATCTTACATGATTTTTAGCCTTTTTTTTTACATGTGGACATCTATTACATGATTTTTGGAGCTTGTTTAGTTTTTTTTTGAATGAGGCATATTTGAGCTATAATCAGAGAGATGTAAGTTGAGACTTCTTGTTAGGCATGTAGTGGTATATCCAATATAATTATTCATGAATTTGGTTGCTATATATATATTTGTATAAATTTGTACCCTTGAACAAAATATAGTTTTGTACCACTCGCACACCTAAAGATGATTTTGGAAGAAGACCGAAAGTACTTGGGAAATGAAAATAAAAGAAATTTAAACAGTTATAGTTTTCGTTATTCGTGAATTTTTTTGAAAAATTAGCAGACATAATGTCTGTAATTTATTCATTTGAATTTGCTGCCTAAATACACAGCACACACACACACACACACACACACACATAATATATATATATATATATATATATATATATATATAAAAGAACAAGAGAAAATTTCCGTTCAGAACATTAATTTAAAAACAGGGCTCAATACGAAAGTAGAGCAATTGATTACTTTGCATATCCACTAAAAAATTTTTTAACGTTAAAAAAAGTAACGTTTTCATCAGGTAAATCCAATATAATTATTTTTAACGTTGAAACAAGATGTACAGTTTTGTAGAATTTTCTAATGCTATATATATATATTTATATATATATATATATATATATTATAAATTAATTGATTTAAAATAAATTCCAACCATGTTTCAAAAATAGAAGAAAACCCCTAAATTTTTGCAAATAAATTAAAAGTTTTAGTTCTATTTCATCTTCACTCGTAACTTTTAAAATTTACCACAAAAATCATTTACTCAAATTGAACACGGGGTGTCTAGAAGATCATTGTATCAGTTATTAGCTACATTTTGGTAAGGGGTGAGGATGTATTTTTATTGAAACCTGACGTCGAAATGGATGTCGTCTGAATAAAAAAAAAAAAAAAAAAAAAAAAATTGTTAACAGTTTTTATTTAACTAGCATTTGAAATATTTTCCTTTTAATTTTTATTTTACTATATTCTTTTTTAAGAACATCCTTTAAATATTATATTATGTAATTATTTTAACATTAAGTTAAGTATGTAATGAGGTTATTTTTTTTTTTTTTTTTTTTTTGTATATGAACGGGTTATTTTCAGTAAACTTTTCTTTAAATAAACCTATTATTATAATATTTCATGTAAGTACTCACATGGGTCATTCAAAAGTCTGTAATTTATTCAACTATAGGTGTTATTTTTTGGATTCTTTTTAATGCGTAGTATTATTTAAAAAGAAATTTAGGTTAGAATTTTTTTAATTACAAATTCAAAATTTTTGCCTGTTTAGTTTTAAATATTTTTTACACAGAAGGAAAATTACTCATATTAAGTAAGATTACCATATCACACATTATTTACAATACATTTCTCAGATTTAGTAAACTATTTATTTATTAATTAATTAATTTATTTATATATATGTATATAATAAAGTTTCATATGTATGTATAAATAACATGTTAGAATTCATATTGTTATTTATATAATTACTCATAGTATAAAAGTATATACAGAAATTAAATTTTAAAACTTTTTAATTTAGATATTATTTAAATATTAATGGCCCAGTTCAGAAATTAGTAAACTTATGTAATTTTAAAAGGTTACATTTTTTTTTTTTTTTTTTTTTTTTTTTTTTTTTTTATAATATATATATAAACCTATGTAAGTATAAAGGACATTCTTCATGGGACATATAAATATTTATGGCATTTATTTAAAACAGAAACTTATTTATTTTTCAATTAATTTTTTACTTTTTAGGGATTTTTTTAGTGCTTTATTTTAAAAGAAACTTAGGTTAAATTCATTCAATTTAACTTTAATTTTAGTTTCAATTTTAAAATTATTTTCTTTGTATTTTTCAGTTTAGTTATATTAGACTATATTAATAACAGAAGGAATATTTCATAGTAAGTAAAATTTTTTTTTTTATCCAAGTATATGTAAATTACAATTTTTAAACCTTTATATTTTAAAATATTATTTTAGTAATATTAATGGAACTTACTACAAAATTAGCAGATTTAGTAAACTTTATTTATTACTTAATTTATTTATTTATTTTAAATATATGTAACCTAAGTAGTAAAGTTTCATATGTATGTACCAAGAACAGGTTAGAATTCATTTTATTTAATCCACAATTTTAATTCTAATTTTAAATTTTAAAATTACCACATTAAAATTTTAAATATTTTCATTGTTAGTTTTAATTGACTATATTACTTTATAACAGAAGATAATTACTCATAGTAAGTATAATTATTTTCAAAAGTATATGTAAATTACAATTTTTAAACTATTATATTTAAATATTTAAGTAATATAAATGGCACAGACTACAAAACTATCTAAGTCATTTCTCATTTTAGTAAATTTATGTTTATTTATTTTAAATATATGTAACCTGAAATAAAGTTTCATATGTATGTAAAAGAACAATGGGTCATACATTAACATCATCTAGCTTTATTAAAGTCATTTGCAAAAAGAACAATTTTACTCATCAGGAGGTGTTTTATCGGATTCATTCAAGTGTTTGTAGTACATTTATTATAGAGGTGTTTCGGTTAGGATACATTTTATTTAACTACAATTTTTAAACGAAACGTTTTTAAATAACAGTTTTAAAACATTTTTTCCTGCCATTCCAATAGACTTTTTTTTTTTTTTTTTTATATTATTTAAGGAAAATTTTGACAATGACGGCATATAATAGCTATTTCATTTCTCTCTGATTCAGTAAATTTTATTTTTTATAAACTTAGTTATATAGTTTCTCTTGTATACATAGAGGGACACGGGTGGATCTACAAATTCTAGCTCTTCTTATTAACTTCCATTTTACTGTAGGTGTTTTATTTGATTCTTTTAGATGCCAGAAATATTTTGAGATGTTTGATTTTTATATTTATTTATTCTAAATAATGTTGGTTGAATCTTTTTTGAATTCATGGCTAGTGCAACCTATATATATTTTTATGTTATCAGGATTTTCAATCGAAGAGATATTGCATTGGTATACTAATGATTCAGTGCAACATTTATTTTGTATATATATTTTGAGGGTTTATATATATTATATTTTTTCAGATTTACACGTTTTGTATTACATTTGGATTTAGTTATGGTTCTTTAACAATGGAAGTTCATCCTGAAATTTTAACTTAAAGTATGAAAATGCAATTAAAGTTCAAAGGAATTTATCGAACAGTTCTTTCATTTGCAGATCCACCCAATTTTTCACATCTGTTTTTTCAATCTTTTCATTTTTTTTTATACGCTACAAGAACCATTCCTTGATAAAATTTACACGTTAGTATTACATTCGGATATCGGTACCCAATTAAAGTTCAAAGCCCACCCACACGGCTTACAATCTTTGAAGAACCATTCCTGAAAACCACGGATATCGACCACGCCCTTTGAAGCAAGAAAAGGTGAAGGAAAATTTTCACAGAAGTCCAAGAAAATGCTGATTGCTGTGATTCTATTGTGTCGTGTTGCCAGAAATGTCTGGATCATAACGGATATCAATTTGAAAATATGTGAAGATAAAATCTTAAGAGCAGGCATTCATAATAAATACTGTCTTCATATGTATTATTTAAATTCATATGTATTATATATATTCATATGTATGTATATACACACATATATATATATATATATATATATATATGTATATATGTATATATATGTACATATATGTATATATATGTATATATATTCATATGTATATATATGTATATATTCATATGTATTCATATGTATTATTTAAATTAGATATAGTTCTAGTTGTTTGAATTATTTCTTGAGAAAGCTTCAAAATGGGTATTTCTTTTTTAATCATTTTCACCCCAAGCAAGGCAATAAAGCCAGAAAGACACAAGTGGTTACTGGGTGTGGAAGAATTAGGAAATTTAAAATGAGCAGGAAGAGAAAGGACTAATCACGAGGACGGTAGGGCGATTGACATTGCATTTAAATTTTTGAAGTTAACTGGAAAGCATGGTGCCGGACATTTTTGAGACAACCAGTATATAGATAAGAACTTATGACATAAATATAGTTAAGTTATAATTACTTCTTCTATGTGCAGTATCCCTTCAGGACGTAGGAGTTCATGGTTCTCCACAATTTCCTGTCTTTTATAACACTTAGTGATATTTTTCTGTTCTCTCTCTCTCTCTCTCTCTCTCTCTCTCTCTCTCTCTCTCTCTCTCTCTCTCCTAGACTCTGTTCGGCAAGGAATATCGTATATACTGTAAATACAAATTGTGCGTGTCTGTATTTGTGCTTATATATGTGGATGTATGGGGGTGTTTGAAAGAGAGAGAGAGAGAGAGAGAGAGAGAGAGAGAGAGAGAAAGAGAGGCCGACCGACAGAGCAATAACAACTGTAACTAGAAATAAGGTGTTGTTCTTACCGCTGTGTGTCTGTCTAACAACCAATTGATGTCGTAATCGTCGTCATCCTCCCCGAACGGGTTTATAAGTTGTTCAGCAACCTACAGAGGTAAAATAAAAAATAAAATAAAATAAACAATGATCGTGTATTTGCTAATTTAAGTTGTTTAAATATTTTTTTATTTTATTTTGATCTTCTCCTTGTAAATTTTATGGTCATCAAGTCGTATGAACTTTGTCGTCAGGTTTTTATACACACGTACATATTTATTCGGTCGAGTTAGCTCGAACATTCATGAGTCTATCACGCCAACCATCACGATCGAAATGTCATCAGGGAGACATAGCTGATCAATATAAGGGGTTTACTGGGTGACCAACTCGTCTTGCTTCAGAACAGTACACCACCCGCGAGTTCTTGTTTTGTTCGCCGGTATGTCCTGCAAAACGCATTCTGCCTTCGTGTAAGATTATAGAAATATCAGAGATGTGTCCATAGGGACGTAGTTTAGTTGGATGTTGTCTTCAAGAGATGTTAAGTAGAGCTCTCAGCATCCAAGTGTAGGTCCCATCAACCTTAGACTCTAGGGTTTCAGTTCATGCCCAGGCAAGGGCTCCATACATTAAAACCGTCGCTACATTACCACGAAAGAAGATCTGCTTGAGGTTGTATGATAGGTCAGGCTTTAGCTATGCGAATTTTCACACCCTTTTTCATTAGAATGTATCTCATTTCCTAGATATGTAAAAGACTGATTCACCTGAGGAAGGCAGTCGAAAACTACACTTTTCGCACTTTTAATAATCGTTTCCGAAATCTTGTCTTTGTCGTTCGGTGAGACGAGTTCGAATTAAAAAATACCCTTGAGAAATGTATGAATCCATTCCTGACCCCAGCTATGAGTTAAATATCAGGGCAACCTGCACACTCTAGCCTTGTTTGACAACAAATATAGGAGAAGGAAAACTTTGAATTCAAAACCGTATATGATCCAGGTGGGTCATTTACTTGAAATGTAACTAAGGTTCGCTCAGCATATATATATATATATATATATATATATATATATATATATATATATATATAGATAAAATATGAACAAACAATATTTTGAGGTGAGCCTGTGTCGTACTAAGCTAAACTTGAGACGATGATTACATGCCGTTAAATCCCCATAAATTGTCGTCTTCTGATATTTTCAAGTTAGCTTAATTAGAACCGCCCAAAAGAGGAAAATATTACTTTAAGTTAAGTTTTCTATACTCACCTTAAGCCAACCCATGTAGAAAAAGAATTGCAGCAAAGTAAAGACAGGAACATACAAATCATATCCAAACCCTTCGTAACCCCGATTTGGATCCAGATATTGGCGGGCGACAAGACAGGCAGCAAAGAACGTGTACACAGCTAGGGTTACGACCTGCGAACGAAAAAAACAATTTATTAAAAAGATTAATTAATTAACTAATTAATAATAATAAACATCAATAATAATAATAACGACTCTGATGCTATAACAAGCTTGGCTCTTACGGCTTCTGATCTTATTAAAACGTGTGCAGGTAAGATAGGATTTGCGCGTAGCATAGGGTCTATCGGCGCGGATAGTGAGATCGGCATGCCGGGTTAAAATTTTGAATCCATTTTCTCCCCTACAATTATGGGTTAAATATCATTACAGTCTGGGCTCTCTGACCTTGGTTGGTAGCCAGTCAACGAGAATGATATTTAAAAACAGTTTGGGCTTGTGGCGTTGTACCTAAAATCCCTACTTATTATGGAACCACAGCAGCAACAGTGACCCTTTACTCTCTATAAAATGAGAAAGACACCTCTCTCTATCTCTCTCTCTCTCTCTCTCTATCTATCTATCTATCTATTTCACTCACTTTCTCTCCGTTATCATGTACATGCTTTGTTTTGGCGAATTAAGATGGGCAACAGTCGCTTGACCATAACCAGTTGAGGATGTGCCATAGATATAACATGATAGCGACATATGTGCACTCGAAGATATGCAAGAAGCACAAAATCGAAACCACTGAGAGATGACCTGAGTACCAACCAGAGAGTTACCCAAGATAACGATGTAACTATCCTCTGGGACATGCCAATTCAAACTGACAGGGAAATAAAAGCCAACAGACCTGATATTAAAATAAAAGACAAGAAATTCAGGAAGTATGTTTATTGACATAGCAGTACCATCTGAAAGAAACACCTCCAAGAAAATTAGTCTAAATACAAGGACCTGGAGATCCAGATTAACAGGATGTGAGAAATGAAAACTGAGACTGTACCAATAGTAACCGGAGCTCTGGGTTTCGTGAGAAAAGGAATGGACAGGTTTGCTAACAGTGTCCCAGGTAACATCAACATACAAGTTGCCCAGAAGATCGGCCTAGTATGAACATTCCATATACTAAGAAAAGTGCTATCAATCAAATGACAATTCTCCTATAGGGCCTAAGGACGATAGTTTGGACCCGGTTCTACAGGATACAAAGCTGGAAATATAACATACACAAACGATAATATATAAAAATCAATGTATATCTGTATATCCGAGATGAGGGGGTGCTGAAAGCTACCGGTTTGACCAACTTCTAAAATCTTTCTGTAAAGTTCTTCTTGGTTGATCAGAAAACTTTTCAGCGCCCCTCGTACATATACATTTAAGACTGGGTTTTTATCGTTGTTTTATTGCTTGTAATGAAATAGGCGCGAAGATTAAATTGAGACTTGAATCTTCATTACTTAATATTTTTATTCAGTCAAATATTTCGTCAGTTATTCCCGGCTGGTATGCTGTCCCATAGAAACCTCAGCCAAAATGTCGACCTAACATTCTCTCTGCAATCTTTGAGAGAATGTCGATCTCCTCTCGGCTGATTGTTCATGTATCTATCTGTTAAACGACTTTTCTCAAGCGCGCACATATCAGTCGCGGCCTTGCTCACAGGTGTTCGCCTCCCGGAGTCACCAATGAAAGCGGATGAATCGACTGAGAACCCGACACCTGGCTCCCTGGCCACTGACGAGAAGATTGACGTGGGTCCTGCTACTTCTTTGTGCGTCACGCCTGTCCAGCCACTTTTAAACTTCTCGATCCACTTCTACGCGTTAGTGCACTGTCACCGGATTGGGTTAAAAGCCTCCTCTAGCAGCTGGCTCCCTTTATCATCTAGTGTGAACTTGGGTGCTGAGCCTATCCCAGCATAATATTACATTGTGGATTGTCAGAAATCAGAAACACGGAGCCAATAGCTGCTCACCACGGTATTTACTAAGTTTTATTTTAGTTCCTTACAGACTGGGAGCAGTTGTATATTAAATGATGATCGACCTCATAACACTAACATTGATTTAGCTTACACACAACAATCTAAAACAGGCACCCAATTTTTTTTTATTTACTAGTATTGTGTTAAAAGCCTCTGATTAATTTCAGCCTCTGACTCATATTCCGACCAGAGAAATCGAATCACTGCTGCACACTGCTAGAAGGGCGACCATGTTTACACTGTGGCAGCAGGACACTGAACCGATCAAGCCACACATCCTTAGCAAGTATATATATATATATATATATATATATATATAAAGGGAAGAAGTTTTACTAGTTCCAACGAGAGAAAAGTGTGTATATTAAAAAGAAGAGATAAACTGCCACAAACGTTTTTGGTTGTGATGTGGGTTTTTTTAAACATTTTATGTTTTATTTTCCATAATTTCGCTACGCAGGTTTCCGGTCTCGCGACCTTCATCAGGCAAAGAGTGGATATTTTCACATATTATTAAAAGGAATTAATTTTTCTTTGTTTTTCGATGTTAAATATTCTCGATATCAGACATTCGCTTTTTTGTGTTTTAGTGATCCAAATGTCTTTCTTGATCTCTCTCTCTCTCTCTCTCTCTCTATATATATATATATATATATAGTACAGGTACTCGATACGTTGGTATATAATTCAGGTGGATCCTAGTAATATTAAATATTAGAACTGATCCACAGAGAGCTCGATGTTTTTATTTTAACAGAGCATATGTATTTTTTACAGCGAAAAGCTAAAAATTACTTCAACATAGGTATAGTCTATTTCAAACCGTTCTTCACACGGCTATCATCAGCCTCTAAGTGCTTGTCTCTTAGTATTGTTCTAAATTTATTTTCAAAGTCAGTCTTCCTCTAGTAGGCGCCTTGTTAATGAGAGTGGGTTTGTGTTAGCGATTGGTGGGGGCGTAAGGTATCTTATCCCGGTGGAAACGGTCTGGGTTTGGAGTTTATTTATGGCCAGGATTTTTGTTTGTAGTTTATCCAGGCCATTTTCTTTGTAGTTTATCCCGTCATAACTCCAAATCCAGCACTTAGAGTCTAATTATAGCCGTGTGAAGAACGGTTTGAAATAGACCATACTTATGTGGAGGTAATTTTTGTTTATATATATATATATATATATATATATATATAGAGAGAGAGAGAGACAGACAGACAGACAGACAGACAGAGACAGAGACAAATATATTCATTTTAGGATATTACAAAAAACGTAAGAATCGTTACACAATTGCAGATTTATTTCAATGCATAACGATGCGTCTACTTAGGCGATTGTAAATTACTGGCGAGTGAACGATTAATGCGTACTTATTTTAATATAAGGCTTAAGTGCTTTACCCTGATGAACCAATCGAATATGACCTACGTTAAATTGAAACGAAGAAAATAAGAAAAAATTAGAAATTATTAATTACATTAAATAAATGTGTCATGACTAGGAGTTGGCATCTAACAGCAGCAAGGCATTAACTTAAAAACTGATACAGATGGTTACATAATATGTAGACATGCCAGACAATCGACTTTCATTAAAAATAAAAGCGTGGGAGGTAAAGAAGTAATTTTACCGAATTCCAAACTAGTTAGATGCTTTGTAAATTTACTATATATTTTTGTAGTTGATAAATTGTACATACACATACACACATATATGTATATATATATGTACTTATTTTTAGTTCTTTAACTTTGTTCTTTATTATCTTTTAATTTGTTTAATTAATATATTTTTATATGTTTTAATATTATAATCCTAATTTATTTAACTTACTTTATTTTATTGATGTCAACCATTATTATAATTTTTGTTGGTATAATTAATTTAAAATTGTGATGATTAAAATGCAATGAAGCTGTCAAAAATTAGAAACATGATTGTATCTATTTTAAGTCTGAATTGTGCATATTTAAATTCTTCAGTCCGTAAAATCATTTCTAGATCACCCTATCGACTCATGTCTAATTCTTACTTCATTCATTTCTTCCCCACCCACTATCATCCATACTTCTCTCCTCTCCAGCTACCTATCTTCCTTCCTCCAGAATTTATTTAAGACATTACAGATATATATATATATATATATATATACACAAATAAATATACATTATATATATATAAATATATATATATATTATATGTACACAAATATATATATATTGTATATTTGTATGCATATATATATAATACATATATATGTAGATTTATACATATATATGTACAAATATACATATATACTATATATACAAAAATATATATATATATATATATATATATATATATACAATATATATATAAATATATATATATATATATATATATATATATATATATATATATATATATATATATATATATATATATATATGCAAATAATATATATGTATATATATATATATATATATATATATATACAAAAGAAATATACTTTTTAAGGTGTGGTATGTTTATGGAACAAAATGCTCAATATCAGAGATAAGGCGTATGTAAATATAAATATAAGTATGTGTGTGTATATGTACATATATATATATATGTGTATATGTATATATATATATATATATATATATATATATATATATATGTATGTGTGTATGTATGTGTGTAAATATGTATATGTGTGTGAACTTAGCTGTGTGTGTATATATGTGTACATATTTAGGGGTGTGTATATAGGTATATGTATGTGTATCTATGGATGTACATGTATGTGTATATATGTATATTTATGTATACGTATATGGATGTATGTATGGGTAGATGGATGGATATATATGTAGATGGATGTATATGTAGATGTGTGTATTTATGTGTGTGTATGTTTTGGTATGTATGTACTCATATATATTTGTATATGGGTGTATATGTACGTATATATATATGTGTATATATAGTTAGACGGATAGATATAGGGATACATTGTCTATTTGTTTAAATGGGTGTATTTAATTGTATAGAAATGTAAGGTTTTAGGTATATATGTTTATGTGCACTTATGCGTATGTATATATGTAGGTAAGTGTGTATATATATGAAGGACTGGAAGCGGATGGATGCATGTGTGTATATATGCATGTATGTG